AGCCCTCCAGCATCATCAGGCTAAAAGGTAAAACATTTAGCATAAACCTGTCTCACTGTCAGCGATTGCACATTTATCTACATGCTTTTCTTGATTCATTTTTCTCTCAGGGGCACATTTGTTTTGAGAATAGTTTTGAGTTTTTGTGGAAGATCTACAAAAGCACGTGTCCATTCATCCATCACAAGCAGTGGCGTAGGTTTAGGAGGGTTTGATACAGTGGAATCCGCTTATAGTGACCACCTCTGTCTGGGTGAAACAGACCACAATAACCGCACAATGGTACAACACAATATTGTACATAAAATATAGCTTATTGTAATTTCGCCATTGCATCTCGGTGGCTCATTTTTTGGCAGTTTACTATATGTCTTGAGTCTTTATTTGTCATTGAGAGAAAATGACTTTCCCCATCATGTTTTCTGCGCACGCAACATTAGCCTGAGGTAGCCAGAAGCAGACGGGTTACTGCATAGTAGGCTTAAAAGTTTAAAGTAAAAAAAATAAATAAATAAATAAATTAGCTTAGTTTTAATTTTTTCCGTATGTTGTCATATATGAAAAGACTCAAAATGAACACTGTAAACGGACTACTTGATTACAATAAGCGAATAAACAGTATTAGTGCAGGAATGATTCTGTCCCAAGCTTTTTGATCCAAGTAAGCGGTTGATCAATATGACCGTGATCACTATAAGCAGGTTCCACTGTACTGGGGTAACACAACCTAATCATTTAATTTAAATACTGTGGACTTTGTTGGGAGGATGAATGAAGCCAAATTAAATACTGGGGGTGGGGGGGTAGTCAGAGTTCCATGGTTCACAAGGTCCATAGAAACAGAAAATGGAGAGAAAATACTTCGGTTTTCCTTTGTATTAAAGAAGAATGAATAAGACATGATCACATAACATGTCACACTCACCTTCAAGAACACTTGGGGGAGCTGTTCTCAGCCCTCGGCTCCGCCCATCCATGCCCCCACCCCGCATGGTACGGCGACGCACCCCCAATGCAAACTGTTACCTCGCTCCCGTAAAAGATAGTTCCAGTTACTAAGTCTTTTCTTTTTATGCGACTTCCCACATTACCCCATCAGTGAATGTATGTATCTGTTCCCTACAGTTGTTAAATGGAGAGGATCTTCTATCCAGGTTCACCCACTGCAGCAATGATGTTGTGTTTAGACGTGAACCAGGAAACAGCCGAGGCTATTTAAAGATGATGGAAGGACCTTGTTATACAGCCCAGCCGTAAGCTCAGCCATAAGCTCGACCCAGCCGTAAGCTCAGCCTAGCCAGGCCCAGCCGTAAGCTTGGCCCAGCCGTAAGCTCAGCCCAGCCAGGCCCAGCCGTAAGCTCGGCCCAGCCGTAAGCTCGGCCCAGCCACCCTTGGGGACAATGGACCGGTCAAACTTATTAAATCTCCTCTGCAGATCGAACCACTGGCATCATCACTGTCTTTTTACCACTGGCAAGTTATCCCTGTGCCCCCCCCCCAACAATTCACAGCTGGAGCCAGGCCTGAGTCAAGCTTCTTTTTTTATACATCATCAGGCCACATTCTTCCACTGACTGTGATCTTATTTTGCCCCTTTGTACTGACAGTGAAAGTGGCAGGAATGGGAGCCATTGGGGAACAGTTACTTAAACACACCGATATTGACCCTGAGCCCCAGGACAGGTTGACTTTACATGGCCAGCAGAGGGCAGAAAAGACACAACCAGCACCAGCTCGCTCTCATTAGCACCTTCCAGCGGTCTTCCTTTGATTGTGATACTTGTGTGGCATGTTAATGGTCCCATTTAACGAACTGAACAGACTTGCTATTTTAAAAAGAAAAATGAGAAGCCATCTTTTCTGACCTCAAAACGGGTCGTGGCCAGAAAAATGACAATATGCAATTAACGAATGGGTAATTTTTTAATGGGCTGGATATGCAGGGTAAGAAAAGACAAGGCCGAACAGACCAAATGATGTGTTTCACTTCACAGCCATTAGGGGGCAGCTGAAACATGAGAGAATTCTTCAAGAAGCAATTCTGCGCTATGCTTAGTAAAAACAGGAAGTGGGAAGTGTACAGGAATGAGAAATTTAAAATCATCTGATTACTTTCTCATATCCTCATGCTTTCACAATTACCTGAATCATCTTAAAATAGTTGACCTACTTACTCTTAAAAACAGCAAACATGCTTTATTTGCCATTTGCACAAGTACAGGTACATTGGGCTGCTTCTCTTTGCTGATCCCATCTTCCTCTCCTTAGCCGGTGGGGGGGGGCACAGCACAGAGTCAGCTAACCCCCCCCCCTGGAGCTGGGGGGGGTTAAGGCCCACAGACATGTGACTGTTCCACCAAGGCCAGGGCCTGAACTGGCAATCTTTTGATCATAGGCACAGAGACTTAACCCCCCAAGCCACTCCCTATTCCCCCTGTCAGCCGGGTTCCCCGCTTGCTAATGTAAACAGCCTGCCCCCATAAGTCATGTGACTGTAACTGCATACAGCACGCAGCCAGGACCTAAGGTGATTTTAAGCATGGTGTGATTGTTGGTATCAGACATAGCGGTTCCAGCATCTCAGAAACAACCATCATCATGGGATTTTCATGTCCAGTGTCTAGAGCTTACAAATAACGGTGCAACCAACAATTAACGTCAGGTCAGAGGCAGTTATGTAACAAACAAAAAAAACATCTTGTTACGGGCAGAAGTAGAATAGAATAGTACAATAGTCACATGTGTTAAACCAACAGGAAGACCACAGTCGCAGAAATCACAGTGCTGTGCAGATAGGCTTCTCTGAACAACAAACACATTTACTATAAGATCAATTCTGGAAGGAAAAGTTAAGTCCTATCCAGTACAAGCTAGGTCTACATAAAAGTATCCACTGAGTGTAAGTCCCCAATTAAGTGATTACACAACAAAGGTGATTAACCCCTGCAAGATAACAAGTGTTAAGCTATATCACAATATTAACGATATTCAGATTGGTGACAATGCGAATGTTCATAATCACGATACAATATGTTGTTTGTATATTCATATATAAATATCATATATACAATATTTTATAATCGCCCAGCCCTAACAATATCATGATATTGACAGAATATGTGTATGGTGAAAGTTACTCATCTAAAAGGAAGAAGCGTATGATTTTCTGGTCTCAGGAATAACCCTCTGAGGTCAGAAATCTGACACATCACATCATTCCTGTAATACAGGCAAGTGATCAGGCATATAAGCAGATGACTACACAACGATTTACTCAAACTTTAACCTAATTATTATTAATGGGGTGTTTTTAAATGTGCTTTAATTTAATACATAGTTTAAGCAAACTGAGAATAGTGACTATGTCTCAATGAGCGGTTATAAAAAAAAAAAAAAACCAGCAGCGCTTAAAATATCAATGGCTGGACTCAAAGACGAACTTTCAATCGGTCATCTGAATTTCCGCACATACACAGACACATTAAGAGAAAAATACCATATACAACACGCATAAGTTGGACTCCTTAACAAATTTACTTTTAAATTAAAGACATACATCAAACACTTATTGGACGTTGCCAAAATATATTATTAAATGCCAGAAAAATCGTTTTATAAAGTAAACCAAACTGTTAATTGCACTAATTTCACACATAGTCGCCTGTGAGCGGCACACGTTCTTCCTGAATAAATCCTGCGGCAGGAGTAACGCACGTAAACATGAGAGCCGACAGCGAACCATCCCTGTAAAGTCCGACGCTTCTTCACGTCGACTTGCCCAGCTACCTCTTTCATCTGAATTAGCGTAGGCTCAGTATCATTTAAAGTTTTGCGTATTTCCATACAAAATGTGCGTATTCTGCGTTCTAACCTTTACGGGCTGATTTAACCCGACTGAACTGTTTGTAATGTGAACAATACTGCCCACTTGCGGCCACTTGCAGAAACTGCAGACGCTCCTCCGTCAGGCACTGCAGCTCCATTACCCCCCCCACCTCCCCCCAAACTTCAGGTAATACTCCATACAAATGGTTGTAACAAGTATAAAAATAGTCATTTGGCTTCTTAGAAAAACCTTAAAATTGAAACCTATAACAAATATTTTTTATAGAAATTACTACAAAAGTTTTTTTTTCTTCACAGAAATTACAATACTGCTGGTTTTGCTCTGCTACTCGATGGCACAGTATTTACCAAATAAGGACGGTGGAGACATGAATTTTCCTTGAGAGAATTACATTCTGTAGCCGTTTGGCCACACTGGATCCAATCACAGGACAGGTCCTGGGGGACAAGGCAGGGGAACAAGGCAAGGAACAAGGCAGGGGAACAAGGCAGGGGACAAGGCAGGGGAACAAGGCAGGGGAACAAGGCAGGGGACAAGGCAGGGGAACAAGGCAGGGGAACA